AGGCTGGTCTCGAACTCCTGAGCTCAAACAATCTGCCCGCCTCGGCCTCCCAGAGTGCTAGGATTACAGGCGTGAGCCACCGCGCCCGGCCAAAATGAGTGTTCTTTTGTGTGGTAAAAACACTCAGCTTTGAAGGTCCAGAGACTTGATTTTGTCAGTAGTAATCTAGAGTGGATCAATCTCTAAAGGACACATTCATGCTAATCTAACTCATAAGAGACTGCTGTATAAATGAAATACTAGTTAATTTTATGAGACATACAGTGCTGAAAGGACTAGGCGGTTGATGTCGGTCTCTCCTAGAAGAAACATATTCAAAGGGACAAAGCCCCAAATATGCCCAACTACTAGGTAATTAAATGTACGGCCAAGGAGATTATTCAAAAAAACTTGAGGCCCACTAAATATATGCAGTTTTAGGCATATAAATAGAGTTGTTAAATGTTTCCTCATAATATTTAATTAATATGATTATACATTACTATCTTGTATTATATAATTTAATAATTATTTAACAGTTTAACTGCATTTATCTTCACTTGCTTGCAGAAAGGGCACTCTTTGTATTGTTTATGATGTTACTAGACTTTATCCTGATTAGAATATTAATTGGCATAGGTTTTTTTAGCCTCCTGTACATACATATGTGATTTCCCTCAAAGTAACCATTTGCTTAATTGCTTTGTAAAAAGTAATCTTTAAAAGCTTGTTTACAACTTCCAACACTTGTGAAGTTTTAGCTAAAGGTAGTGTTAAAGTTTTGTTTCTCTTTTTAAAAAGTAAATTTTATCATATGATCTCTGTAAACACCCAAAACTTGTTTTGGTGAAGGTCATTTCAGGCTGTTGAATCTTCCTCATTGTTTTCAAAATAAAGAAATTTAGGAGAATGGTCTTTTTAATAAGTGACACTATTGGAATATAAGATTACTCCTTTTTTTTTTGAAGATGAATTCTAATAATAAAACCTTGACTTGTATTTGTGCATATGAGAGTAAGGGAGTTAGTACATGATTTTAAAGATTAGCTATGAAAGTCTGGCATATCCATCTTTCAGTAAATGATCCATCTGTTACATGAACCAGGCATCCATATTTAGTAGTCAGGATACTCATAGCCCCTGCCCAATGATTTCTAGTAAATTTTTATTGTAGTGCCTTCAAATTTATAAATTTCCGTTCCCAGACCATTAGTTAAATTCTCTTCTGGCAGGGTGCAATGAAATTAATTTCATTTTTAACAAACATTATTAGGTTAAAAGCTCGGAATTTAGGTTGTAGGCAGGTTAAGCAGACATAGCCCATTTTCTTGAGATGTAACTTAGTTGTCTTGTTAAGACCTGTATTTTTATTAATAAGACTTTTTCACATTTTCTGATAGTCTAATTTTAGATTGTTACTTCTGTAATTTGGTTTTATTCATCATGTTTTAATTTTTCTCAGTTTCTGTTCACTTTTATTTCAGGGTACTTGGCAGTTAAGTACTTCTCTTATATACCAGTAGTATTGGCTCCTATATATAGTTATGAAAAATTTTTGGCAGAGAATTACTTGCTTTCAGTACTAAAGTTAATTTTACTTATTCTATGTATTTTAGTAACTTAACAGCTAATTTTTCAATAAAGCATAATTTTTGGATTTAAAATTAGTTTAAATATGTAATTTGTGTGTATTGCCTTTTAAATAAATAATTTTTACTTAGTCAAAATATGAAATTTAATATCAAGGTAAATATATGTCTAGCCTTTTCTGTTTATATAATTATCAGACAAGGCAAATGGAACCTAAGATCTTTTTAATTCAAAGTTAATCTCTTAATTTTGAATTACTTAAATCAGAGGCAGGGAATAGTCTTCAGCCCATTAATGACTAGCATAACTCTTGGAAGTTCTTTTAATTTATAATTGTCAGCAATGCTTAATAAAGTTGATACGGATCCTTGCCAGTTCTGTGGCAATTACGGGTTAACTTAGTGTACTGAATTTTGAGACTATTGTCAAGAAAATGAGCTGAGGACAGTGTATGGCCTAGTGTTACCAGTGTTTGAGGGTCCATATAAGCTCCAATATAGGAATGGTATGTATGTATGTATGTATTTATTTAGAGATGGAGTCTCGCTCTGTTGCCTGGGCTAGAGTGTGGTGGCGTCAGCCTAGCTTGTAGCAGCCTGAAACTCCTGGGCTCAAGCGATCTTCCTGCCTCAGCCTCCCAAGTAGCTGGTACTACAGGCACGGGCCACCACGTCTGGCTAATTATTTCTATTTTTTTTTAGTAGAGACGGGGTCTTGCTCTTGCTCAGGCTGGTCTCGAACTCCTGACCTCAAGGGGTCCTCCCATCTTGGCCTCCCAGAGTCCTAGGATTATTGGTGTGAGCCATTGTGCCTGGCCAGGCATGTATTTTTTAAAAAGTTACAAGTTTTAATCAACTTGATGTTGGTGTATTTTGTGTTTTAATTAGAATATATTAAGATACATGTTAATAAATTGAACACTTTAAAGCTGTCCTGGCTGGTAAGTGATGATTCCATATTAAATCACTTAAGTGGAATAAGAATATAGATTTAATAAAAATTTAGGGTGTTCCATATCTTCACTTGTTTTAGACATAATATAAATAAATAACTGGGAAAAATAATGAAACATGTTCTCTCCCCCATTTTGTGAGCTTGCAGATGAGTATCCTTTCTTTGGAGGTTTGTTTTGTTATTTAATAACTTGAATGGTAAAATGCTCTGTGAAACATTCCTGTCTAATAAGGTGATTGTCTCAGCCTGACTACTTGTTAAATAACAAACTAAGTCTAATCTTGCTACCCTTTTCAACATTTTTTTTTTGGATCAGGCAATCACCTCATCACCTCATTCTGGAAAATAGAATGACTATTCCTTCCCCCTTTTCTACTTTCAAGTTTGGATTTTTATTAGTATTGTGTTTTCTTATGTTTTGCTGAATTCTCTTTTTCCAGACATGCTGGTATCTACACAGCAGAAGAAGTGGCTCTGATTATGCGTGAGAAGCTAATTCGTTTGCAGTCTTTGTACATTGATCAGTTTAAACGACTGCAGCATCTGCTCAAGGAGAAGAAGCGCCGGTACTTACATAATCGCAAAGTGGAACATGAAGCTCTAGGCAAGTTATATGACAGTTCCAACAAGTTATTGTGGGTTCAACATGTGATTTTGGTAGTAGAGTCATGTGTTGTTTAATGATAGGGATACATGCGTTATTAGGTGATTTTGTCATTATTTGAACCTCATAGAGTATACTTACACAAATGTAGATGGTATAGCCTCCTACACACCTAGGTTATATGGTATAGCCTCCTACACACCTAGGTTATATGGGATAGCCTGTTGCTTCTAGGCTACAGACTTGTACAACATGTTACCATACTCAATGCTGGGGGCAGTTGTTACACAACAGTAAGTATTTGTATGTGTAAACATAGAAAAGGTACAGTTACAATATGGTATAAAGAGTAAAAAATATGGTACCGCCTGTATAGGGCACTTAGCATGAATGGACCTTACAGGACTAGCAGTTGTTCTGAATTGGTCAGTTGAGTGGTGAGTGAATGTGAAGGCCTAGGACAGTACTACATACTACTATAGATTCTATCAACACTGTATATTTAGGCTACACTAAATTTATAGGAAATTTTTCTTCAGTAATAAATTACTGTTAGTTTACTGTAACTTTTATACTTTAAAATTTTTTTTAACTTCTTGACTCTTTTGTAATAACACTTAGCTTAAAACAAACATTGCACAGCTTTACAAAACTATTTTTATGTCCTTATTCTGTAAGCTTTTTTCTATTTAAAAATTTTTTAATATTTTTTACTTTTTAAACTTTTTTGTTAAAAACTAAGACACAAACACACACATTAGACTAGGCGTACATAGTCAGGGTCATCATTATTGTCTTCCACTTCCACATCTTGCCCTATTGTAAGGTCTTCAGGGTTAATAACACATGTGGAGCTGTCATCTCCTAGGATAACAGTGCCTTCTTCTGAAATACCTCCTGAAGGAACTGCTTGAAGCTATTTTATAGTTAACTTTTTTTTAATAAGGAGGAGGAATACACTCTAATAGTAAAAAGTATAGCATAGTAAATACATAAAGAAATAACATAGTGGTTTATTATCATTACCAGGTATTATGTACTGTATATAATTGCATATGCTATACTTCTGTATGACTGGCAGTACTGTAGATTTGTTCACCAGTATTACCACAAATGTGAGAGTAATGTGTTACACTAAGATGTCACTAGGCAATAGGAACTTTACAGCTCCATTATAATCTTAAGGGACCATCATTGTATATGGAGTTGTGGAGGCCAGAGCAGCTCCATCTTGGATGCAATCTGTGTGGTGACTTCTCATTAACCCCTGTTGCGGGGATGCCTCTAAGATTTCTACCTTATTTGCTGTTACCATGTAAGTCCTACCCTTAGTTCAAAACAGCCTTGATCATAAATCCTGCCATTAGGCAGACTCATATAGCATTCTTACCTTTCTCTGAGGGTCAGCTTCGGTTGTCCTACCCATTCCTTCCCTGTATTAATTATATAAGCCCTGGGGTGGGTGGGTGTAGGGATCCATCATCATCTTGTGCTGCTGCTGGAGACATGGCTTCTGTTCGTAAGTCCCTATTAAATGTTTCTTTCTGAGAAACTGGATTTTTCAGCCTCTTTCTTTGACTTCTCAGCTTCCTCAGACTTTGGGGGTAGGTTTGCACACACCTGCTCACCACAGAACAGGGATCAATCATTGACTGAAAGGTTATGCAGTGCATTACTGACATTAGATTTATTTCTGTCTTGGTACCTAGAAAGAAGAAGAAGTTGCTTTTGAAACGGCCTATCTTACAAAGATTTCCTTGTTTACGTGTTGATTTGGAGAAGCATCTTTGATGGGTTGCTTGGCAGATAACATCTTGACTCTTGTAACTCTCTAGGTAGTAGTCTACTGACTGGCCCAGAGGGACTTTTGGCCAAAGAACGAGAAAACTTGAAGCGATTAAAGTGTCTCCGGCGATACCGCCAGCGCTATGGAGTGGAAGCCTTACTACACAGGCAGTTGAAGGAACGCAGAATACTGGCCACAGACGGTGCCGCCCAACAGGTAATTTGTGTATATACTTCTAAGATAAATACATTCACTTTATTTACAGAGTTAGGGTAATTATCAAAACATTATCCAGTCCTGGCTCCGAAATCTGACTTAATTGCCCTTGGGTTATAGTGAAAGCACCTACCTGGAAGTCAGGAGACATAGAGTTCTAGTCTCAATGCCCTACAGACCAGCTCTATGCTTCAATATTATCATTTGCAAATTGAGTGGTTGAGATAATTTCTCCGTTTTTTTTTGGTTCAGATATTCTTCAGTTCAGGAATAGCACAGGTTAAGCCTAAGTTGCTTGGTAGTCTTGTCTTAAAAGGTGGGAAGATAGATAGAATAGAAGCAATTGAATGTCAGAAAGTAAGGCTGATAGAAAGAAGAGTTTAGTGAGCATTCTTAAATTTGTTTCTCAAATCCTTGGTCTCTGCTTCAGTAAGACTAATTTCATTTTTATCTGTTTTATTTGTTGAGGCTCCATGTAAGGTTACAGTTTAAAAACGGGTTCTGCTAAAAGACAAACTAGTTTGAAAATCCTTAAGTTATATCGTACTTTTATAATACAGACAGGTATATTTGGGATTAAGGTTGGCTCATTCTTTATACATGAGGTTTTAAATGTTTTTCTTTTGCATAATATTGGTGAATCAGTTTTTATTAAATGTCGAATTTTCTAGCCTTTAAGGATGTATTTTTCTTATATAACTAAGTATTGTCATAATTGTATGTTCTTTTGTCTGTTTGTTTGTTTTATCTGTTTTTTCCATTTTAGGCCCATACCACTCGTTCCAGTCAGAGGTGCTTGGCCTTTGTGGATGATGTTCGTTGTTCCAATCAGTCTCTTCCAATGACCAGACACTGCCTTACCCGTATCTTTTTACTGGGCACCTGTTCCAGCTTGATTTGCTAGTTAGACTGAGGGCTAGTGGGAATCTCAGTGCTATTTTGCTTAATTAAAGGTTTTGTTTTCCTTTGGCCCTGAATCAAGGCCAGCAGTTTGCTGAAGCTGTTGGTTTCAGACAGGAGCCTAAAGAATTATCCTTCTATGGTCTGTTGGCCATTTCAGAACTTTGGAAATGTAATGGCCAATTCATTAGAAAGAAACATCTGAGTCATTGGCAGTAGATGTAGTCTTAATACCAGGGTTCCAAAATATCCATGAAATATTTATATTTATCTCGAGATCCCTGATTTTAAGTTATTCGTTAGAATTGTAATGGTGTTCAATCTTAATTATAATCCCCCCAAATTACTGTGCGTTTTCAACCAAAACAAAAGGATGATTCTACACTATGAACTTCCCTCTAGTATTATCCTTTTGTGTGGTCAGGACCCTAACTTGTATTTTTTTTTTTTGAGACAGAGTCTCACTCCGTTGCCCGGGTTAGAGTGCCGTGGCTTCAGCCTATCTCACAGCAACCTCAAACTCCTGGGCTCAAGAGATCCTCCTGCCTCAGCCTCCCGAGTAGCTGGGACTACAGACATGCGCCACCATGCCCGGCTAATTTTTTTTTTTCTATATAGATTTTTAGTTGTCCAAATAATTTCTTTCTATTTTTTTTAGTAGAGACAGGGTCTCGCTCTTGCTCAGGCTGGTCTCGAACTCCTGACCTTGAGCGATCCACCCGCCTCGGCCTCCCAGAGTGTTAGGATTACAGGTGTGAGCCACCGCGCCCGGCCAAACTTGTATATTTTAAACTTCATTCAAATTAGAAACTTACAGGTTCCAAAAATGAGAAGCTTTTTTTTCTCCTTTTGATTAATTCGACTTTGAACCATCATGTCTTTTGATTCTGCTAAAGGACTACATTTATTATTGGACTTCGAAACTTTTTTGAGTTGTTTATTGGATTGTGAAAGTGCATCTTTTTGATTTTTATTTTTTTTGAGACAGAGTCTCACTCTTTCACCTGGACTAGAGTGCTGTGGCGTCAGCCTACCTCACAACAACCTCAGATTTCTGGGCTCAAGCAATCCTGCCTCAGCCTCCCGAGTAGCTGGGATTATAGGCGTATGCCACCACACCCAGCTAATTTTTCTGTTTAGTAGGGACAAGGTCTCACTCTTGCTCAGGCTGGCCTCCAACTCCTGAGCTCGAGTGATCTTCCCGTCTTGGCCTCCCAGAGTGCTAGGATTACAGGCGTGAGCCACTGTCCCCGATCTGAAAGTGCAAGTTTATTATGGACGTTGATTGAGAAAATTACATTTCACAGTAAAAGCACTTAAATATGATCTTTATATGAAAGGCATAAAATTGTTGGATTTTATTTGCCTGGGAAGAAATACCAATAATTTGAAAATGAAAGTGTCTATTTCCTTTAATAGGAAGAGGAGAATCCCCTCTTTGTCTTTTGACAGGCCGATTTTTTTTTATTGTTTATTAGATATTTTACCCATTTATTATTACAACAAATGTCTGAGAAAGGATTATTGTCCTTAATATATAAAATGCTTGTGCAAAGTAATTAGAAACTTTAAAGATAAATGCTTAAAATATAATTGGGCAGAGGCTATCTATGGACAGATTTAAAAGAAGATAGAAAAGGAAGATAGTTGAAAAATGTTTATCTTCTCTATAAATACAGTTGACCTTTGAACAACTTGAGGGTTGGGGCACAGACCCTCTATACAGTTGAAGATCTGCATGTAACTTTTGACTCCCCCAAAACTTAACTACTAATAGCCTGCTATTGACCAGAAGCCTTATTGATAACATAGTCAATTAACACCTATTTTCTGTGTTATATGTATTATATACTGTGTTCTTAAACTAGAGAAAATATAAAATCAGGGCACAGTGGCTTCTGCCTAAAATCCTAGCCACTCAGGATGCTGAGGCAGGAGGATCACTTGAGGATAGGAGTTCAAGACCAGCCTCAGCAACATAGGGAGACACCCCTGTCTCTACAGAAAGAAAAAGAAAAATTAGCTCGGGGTGGTAGTGCATGCCTTTTAGTCCCAGCTACTTGGGAGGCTGAGGCAGAAAGATGACTTGAAACCAGGAAGCAGAGGCTGTAGTGAGCTATGATTGTGCCACTGCATCTAGCCTGGGCAACAGAGCAAGACCCTGTCTCAAAAAATATATATATATAAGAAAATACATTAACTATTCTTTAAGTGGAAAGTAGATCATTATGAAGGTCTTCATCCTTGTCATATTTACACTGAGTAGGAGGAGGAGGAAGTGGAGGGGTTGGTCTTGCTGTCTTTGGAGTGGCAGAGGCAGAAGAAAATCCACATACAAGTAGACCTGTGCAGTTCAAACTTGTGTTATTCAAAGGTTAACTGTAAATAGGAAATAAAACAAGGAAAATTTAAAATCTATAAATTTGATATTTGTACATATATTTAAGATACATTTTTTAAAATATATAATTTTTTTAATGAGTGAATGAATTTCAAAATTAGGTGAGGGTATGGTAAAATGGAACATTCTAAATGTTGCCAGTGGGAGTATGAATTGGTATAAGCTTTTTGGAAACCAGTTTGAAAATATTCATATTCTTTGATATGGTCATTTTACCTCTGGGAAATTATTTTAAGAAGACAACCAAATGCAGACCAATGTTTTGACATAAAATATTATTCTGACTGGAGATAGCCTTAAAACATTCAGAGATGGAGAAAAGTAAATTAAGGCACAATATAATATGGAATATTTTCAGGCATTAAACTTTATATTTGCCAAAATCTGTGAATGACAGGATAATGAAAGTGACAAAAATAGGATATGGAATTCTGTAGAGTGTGTTTTAACTGCATGAGACTGAATACCGGGAGGGAATGTAACACAGAAATGTGATTAGTTTTGCATGGTAGGGTTATGAATGCCTTTTTTCCACTCTTTCTTGATACTTTCTGGGTTTTTTTGGTGAGCTTGAATTACTTTTATAAGGTAAAAAGCCCAGTTTAGAGATGGTAAGGACTATTTTTTAGATATTTCTACAATATTTTGTACTAAAGCAATTTATTAGAATATAAGTATTTTAAAAAGCAAAGTTGAAAATGTATTTGTAAAGAGAAGGGAAGTATTTTTTTTTCTTTTTATGCTCTTTCCTTTCCACTCCATAGTTGCCTAAGTCACTTACCCTTCCTTAAGTCCTTACCCCAGAGAAAAATGCGACTGCCATTGGTGACCTGTTAACTCTTTACTCTGGTCTAATGGAGACAGCACTGGACTGAAAGTGAAGTACCCAGACTTTAGTTGTAGGTTAACCATTCCCTTTTTGTTTCTGTTGTCCCCATCTGAAAAGACAGGGGGTGGAGAATGATTGGGGGAGTGTTTTTCTAGGATACTATGATATTAAATAAGAGACTTTTGTGAAATTCCTTTTAATTGCATGAAAAAAGTTTCTGATTGAGATATTTAATGGATTAATATTTTAAATATTATAATAATAACACTGGGCTGCATAAGCACATTAGATACTGCTTACATTTTCTTAAGCATATAGAGAGTGCAAATCTGATTATTCCCGTTAGATTCATACGTTTATTCATTTGATCATTCAATAAATGTTACTTTGTGTTATCTACTGTTCCTTTAAAGTAGTGGTTCTCAGCTGGGAGCCATTTTGTCCTTCGTTTGGCAATGTGTGGAGAAATTTTTGGTTGTCATAACTCAGGAATAAAGATGATACTGAGGGGTAATGGAAAGAGGCCACATGTGCTGCTTCAACATCCGACATCCAGCAAAGAATTATGTGGCCCCACCGTGTCAATAGTGCCATGGTTGTGAAACTCTGCTTTAGAGTTTAGCCCTTTCCAAATGTGGATAGAAAAAAATAACTTTGTTCAAGAAGACTTACTTGGTTTAAAAAACTAATGTAGGCTGGGCGCAGTGGCTCACAGGCCTGTAATCCTAGCACTCTGGGAGGCTGAGGCGGGAGGATTGCTCAAGGTCAGGAGTTCGAGACCAGCCTAAGCAAGAGTGAGAACCTGTCTCTACTAAAAACAGAAAGAAATTATCTGGACAACTAAAAATATATATAGAAAAAATTAGCC